TGGGACTAATTATTTTTTTAATGTATATTTTACACTGCCCTCATTAGCTTCTGAAGATTTGATTCTTGTATATGATTTTCAGTGCTATCACAGAGATTTGGCCTCTTAAACCCCAATTTCTCCATCTGTATGAAGGAAAAGATTATCTCTGATTTTTCATCCCTCTTGAATTCAGTGTTTGTCATATGTAATCCCTTTATTTTCAGAAACTAAACATTCTTGGATTTTTAGAAATAAGCAAATCAGAAATAAATGGATAAAAAGACCAGTGTTGGTTTAAACATTTTTTGTTTGTTTTAAGAAGCAAGTATAAAAATGGTCTGTCGGTTTGAACAAAATATCCCATAAAGCTGGAAATGGCATAATTTTTGTAGTTTTGTGTTGCAAAGATGGCGTTTTGAATAGTAGCATATTTGGTAAGTTGACTATGTTGACAAACAAATATAAACGTCTAGAAAGTATTTATTGAACTGTCTGCAACCATACAGACAATTAGCATCTCTTAATCACAGAGCTAGAGGATGATGGGCAAAGTTAACAGGAGCTAAGAAGTAAAATAAATTATTTTAATCAGAATTTTCAGTCAGAGACAAATATATTTATTAAAGGACTTGATAGCCATTTAAAGTATCGTTTTAACAAAGAAAGCTTCTTCGTTCAAGTGACAAGAACTGAGACTAAGCTGTACGAAAGTGATCAGAGGCATGAGGGTTGAGGTAATACGTGTTGGGGGTTCAGGCTAATGTTACGCTGATTCTTGAGAGTGTTGAGCCTTCGCTGCTAGATGCGAGAGGAAGGCCCTTTTGATCAAGGGGTCAGATATGAAGGGAGAGCGAAGTGAAGGATAACAGATGGGCAGACAGTAAAGCGTATCAGTTTAGGAGCAAAAAGATCTTATTCGGAAAAATGAGCAGTGAAATGAGAAGTATGGTGTCCCTGAGGTTCTTATAGTCGATGAGAAAGTCAGCATGGGATGAAAACTCTATGGGAGGTGATTCTGGCACTTTAAGTGTAGGGGGAATTACGTATCTGTGTGAGGCCCGAACTGCTGTACAGCTAGGAAGGGGGGGAATCACTACATTTTTATTGTCTTTAGAATTTTTTAACCTGTTTGAATTTTAAGAAGGAAAGAATAAAGGAAAATGAGGAAATTAAAACATGTCCAAAAGTCTGAGCTAGATGTAGCTGCTTCTTGTGATAAGGAAGTTGGAAATGAATTTTAATTTGGGGTGCAAGGTGATGTTTAAGCTATTGGTAGGGAATTTCTAACATCAGCAGGTTAGGTAATCAGTTTTATGGACTTTGAGCCTTTTTTGTGTTAGATAGGTGATCCCGTTTTTTCTCTACAGCTTGGAGTCTGTGAGTGCAACATGTAAACAGCTGAGTCAAGAATTAATGGAAAAATATGAAGAATTGAAGAAGATGGAAGGACATAACAATGAGTACAGAGCGGAGATTAAAAAGGTAAGTACCTGCAGGCCTATGATTGCAATATTACATCTATTTATGGACAGAGCTCTGGGTTGATAACATGATAGAGGTCATTTTTAATGAGAGAAAAATATGCTCCAAATGACCACTTGCTATTCAAAAGTGAAAGGGCACTAGACCAAGCTCATGGGGATTGCCTTCTCTCTTTGGCATACCCAGAGAGGCCGTATGCATCGTTTCAAGACAATTGAAGCCCTGAATTCTCAAATTTTATTTGAAACTTTTTTTTTAAAAATGAAAAACCTTCCAAAATATGTACACATCACTCAATATTTTCTTAGTGACTCAAGTGAGTTAAAGATAGATGTTCCTTCTTTGCTGAGTGATGTATAATTACATCCTCATTGGCTAGTGAAGTACGTGTAAGTCTCTCTTTTTCTGTCGATGGAGCCTCGATACTCTGCTGACTTGTGTTTTTTCATTTTTGCAGATTACTTTTTTTTAAATCGTTTTATTAGGGGCTCATACAACTCTTATCACAATCCATACATACATCAATTGTATAAAGCACATTTGTACATTCATTGCCCTCATCATGCTC